GAAAGGGAAGTGCATGACTGGGGGAAAGTAGGAGGTTTAAGAAGGCAGAAGGTTTGATGGACTACAAAGAATCCAGTGGCAGAGCTGTCAGGAAACAGACTAAGGATGGTGATTGGACAGAGTGCGAGACTCTAGGACCTCTAACGGCGGCCGGCTATAAATGGCAGTAACATCCACAGAATGGAAGGGGCCTGCTTAGCTGTCTTTGGAGACAACAAAACAGTTGGGAAGGGCTGGGAGAGTTAGGGAAGCTGCATTCTACTCTGCCGCTGCCCATCTTGAATAACGACACCCCAAAATGGAGTGGGTAGTGGTAACGCTGGTGAGAAAAGCAGGCTGATTTCCTGGGGCCTACAGGAAGAGAGAAAACACAGAAATCTCGCATCTTCTCAAAATTGGAAGTTTTCTCTTTCTTTGGAATAAAATGTATGAGTTGGTATGGCCAGAGCAGTGTCTGGATGCTCTTCCAGTGGGAGCGGGAGGGGATTTTTTTTTTTGCCATCATGACCAAGGCTGCCACATGCGGTTGTATAGCTTGCGCACTGCTCAGAAGCACTCAACTCAGAGAACAGGTGGGGCTACAATTCAGTCCATGCTCCTCCCACCAAACCTTACCCCTCCCAGGACAGCATCTTCCCAAAGGGGAAAAAGAAGCCTTTTTCTAAGTCATCAAAGGCTACCTATTTAGGGTAGCTGGCTGGTCTAGGGAAAGAGGAAGGCCTGGGGGTCAGGTACACTGCCGTTTACCCAGGATCCCACAGTTAGTCACTCACCACCCTGATCGTCTAGGAGTGTTGTAAGAATGAAAACAGAAAACGACTGACTTGAGCACTAGTGGATATGCTTCCTTCCGTCCCCATGCCCCCACTTACATCTAAGCCTTCACTTGTTTTAATGACTATGGATCCTTTCTAGGAACAGCTTCGTGGACCTCGCAGGCCTACAATGCCTTAACGTCGGTTGTGACATCATGCAAGAACTTCAAAGTGCGCATCACATCTGCCACTGCCCTTTCCATCCCAGGCAAGCGAGGGCAGTATGGGTCCACTGAGCAGTACACTCGGATTTGGAACGCACTGGTCACAGCCTTCCAAAAGAGCGAAGACACCACAGACTTTTTGGAATTCAAGTATTGTGCCAGCCTCCG